GTGTATGTGTGTGGTGTGTGTGTGTAGTGTGGTATGGGTGTAGGTGGTGTGTGTGTGTGTGGTGTGTGTGTGTGGTGTGTGGTGTGTATGTGTGGTGTGTGTGTGTGTAGTGTGGTATGGGTGTAGGTGGTGTGTGTGTGTGTGGTGTGTGTGTGTATGTGTGTGGTGTGTGGTGTGTATGTGTGGTGTGTGTGTGTATGTGTATGTGTGAGGTGTGTGTGTGTGTGTGTGTGTGTGTGTTAGGGGTGAGGAAAAATGTACCTAGATAAGGAGCCCTAGACTGCTCCTTTTCACATGTGTGTAATGTGCATGTGTGTATGCTGCGCATGCATCTTTTAATATATGTGGTATACATGTGTGATCAGGTATTATCCTGGATTCTTCTTCCATCTTCTCTCTTGAGCCAGGGTCTCAATCAAAGCCAGAGCTTGAGCGGCTGGAGAGATGGCTCAGCGGTTAACAGCACTGACTGCTCTTCCAGAGGTCCTGAGTTCAATTCCCAACAACCACATGGTGACTCAACCATCTGTAATGGGATCGGAAATCTTAAAACACACACACACACACACACATACACACACACACTCTAGAGCTTGAAGATATGACTAACTTTGCTAGCTGGCTTGCTCCAGGATCTCCTACCTATGCCTTCTGAGGCTGGAATTCCAGCCTGGCCCCCAACACACCTGGCATCTACATGGGTTTCTGTGGATCTGAACTCTGAACAGTAAGAACTTTAACTCTCGAGCCACCTCTTCAGCCCTGTCTACATTTTGGATCTGGTACCTCATCAAACACTCACCTAACTTCCTTTACAAGACAATTAACAGTGTGCCCACAGGTCAGAAGGCCAGGTGGAGGAGAGGTCTCTAACTGCAGAAATGCTTAGAGGTAGCGAGGTCATCACATGGCCTTTATTGTCACACAAGGTAAAGCAGGGTTGTCATGCAGATGGACCAGATTCTATGAGAAAGACAGATGTGACTGCACACATCCCAAACAAGCCATGTACTTTGAGAAAAACTGGCTCCTAGCCCAAGAGCAGCACTTTGGCTCACGGAGCTCAAAGCGCCACCCCGACACTGCACAGGAGCGGCAGCGCCCCCTAGGGGCATTACAGGGCTGATGCTTCTGGTTGTCCCCTGAGTGTCCTAGATAGGGATTGCTGCTGTCCTCTCCATCCTATCCCTTTTTCTCAAGGACTGAGCTTGGCTGCTATTCCATTTTCCAGGAGCTACCGGTGGCCTATGACGTATGGGACCTGGCTACGGACAGCCTGAGGACACCCTTGGTAGATGTGGCAAGTTTATAGCCAGGAGCACTTTATAGCTCACCGGCTTCCTATATGCCCCGTGCTTCTCTGGTGGAATCCCTTACACACACACACACACGGACTCCACCCCTCAGGAACACTGTTCCTTCTGTCACTGAACAGAGAGGCCTCTGGGAGTCCAGAGGTGGTCTCTGAGAAAAATTCCTACATCTACCCACAGGCTACCCAGTGCTTGTGACAGGTGGCCCTTAAGAAGTCAACTCTAAGTAGCATCTTTCCACAGGCTCCTTTGTTCCCAGAGTTCCCCTTGTCCCACCCACCACTCTCCAAGGGTGCTTAGGACCTCACGCTGTGTGCACCCTGTCACCAAACATTCAGGATCACCCCTGAGGAAACTCCCTTCCCACAGGGAGCTTTCTCTCAGTTCCACAGTCCATATGTAGCCTCCGTGAGATTTCCACTGCCTTCAGAGTACTTCCGCTTCCACCCCAGCCTCTGCTGTCTGTCCGTGGATCCTGTGCCTCCCCTCTTTGCTTAGCTAGAATCTGCAATAGTATATCAAACAGAGAGGGTGGCTTTTCTTCCCTGGTTTGGTCAGCTCTTCTGAGCTCAGAGAACCGGAAGGGGTGGAGCTTTCTTGGCCCAACCTCTAGGAACTCCTCCCACTGTAACTTGTATAAAACTCAGGGGCCTTAGGCGGGCCAAGGCCGCCACAGTGGAGCCCGTGGGTCAAATGGGTTGCAACCTTGAGTTTGGATTCAGCATCTTCTGTGGAAAAAGCAGGAAAGACTTGTTTATAGATAGTGGGAACAACCAGATAAAACACTTTAAGAAGGAAATATGTCAAAATATATTCAGTAGAGCAAAGTGATGGGAAAAAATTGTGATAAAATATACATAATAAGTTCACCATCTTAACCATTTAAACGGATAGTTCAGTATTGGGATGGTTTAGTTTGACTGGATGTCCTAAGAGACACACTTCGGAGCATCTGTGTCCAGAGGTGTTCTAGAGTTAAGTACCCTTAGAGACTGGAGGGTGGGACAAGGGGGATTCTGGGAACAAAGGAGCCTGTGGAAAGATGCTATTTAGAGCTGATTTCTCAGGGGCCACCTGTGACAAATTCTGAATGTGGACTGCACCACCCCATACATAGACAGGGTGTCTCAGTTAGGGTTTTCATTGCTGTGAAGAGACACCATGACCAAGACAACTCATATGACAACATTTAATTGGGGCTGGCTTACAGGTTCTAAGGTTCAAGTCCTTTTTGTCATGATGGGAAGCATGGCAGCATCCAGGCAGGCGTGATGCTGGGGGAGCTGAGAGTTCTACATCTTGTTCCAAAGGTAAACAGGAGAAAACTAACTTCCAGGCAGCTAGGAGGAAGGTCTCTCAAAACCCACCCCCATAGTGACACACTTTCTCCAACAAGGCCACACCTCCTAATAGTGTCACTCCTTGGACCAAGTGTATTCAAACCACCACACGGCAGGGGGGTGGGGGTGGGGGTGGGGGATGAGGTACTGGACTGAATGAAAAGAAAAGAGAGAAAGCCTGCTGAGCCTCACCATTCCCACTTCTGCTTCCCTGTCTGTTGGTCTATCCAGGTGTGAGGAGTCCTGGCTACACACTCCTACCACCATGAACTCTGCCATCTCACACAGAGGAGCCTCCTTCCTTACATTGCTTCTGACAGCTGCTTGCTATAGTAATAAAGAAAGTAACGAATACAAGTTTTATTAAGGGTAATAATTATGCAGCCAATTTCCAGAGCTTCTCATCTCACAAGACAGAAATTCCTTACTTATTAAGCAAGTTCCCATTGCGCTTTCCCTACAGCCCCTGGTGAAAGTGCAGTTTAAAATGTATGTATGGTGTGTATGTGCATGTGCGTGTATTTGTGTGTGTGTGCAGGTGCATGCACCACATGTGTGCCTCTGTGTGTGTGCAGGTGCATGCACCATATGGTGTGTGTGTGTGCAGGTGCATGCACCATATGTGTGTCTGTGTGTCTGTGTGTCTGTGTGTGTGGAGGTGCATGCACCATATGTGTGTGTGTGTGTGTGTGCAGGTGCATGCACCATATGTGTGTGTGTGTGTGTGTGTGTGTGTGTGCAGGTGCATGCACCATATGTGTGTCTGTGTG